TTGCGTTCTTGAGCGTACTTAGTTACTCATTATCCACTCTAAAAGAGAGTATTGTTCTTGAGAGTTTTTTTGTGTTCTTAGACACTTGACAAGAGAAAGTATTTCTCTTGTTGTTCGAAGGAAGGGTTGTTTCCTTCGAAGGTTTGTTGAGGTTCGTGTGACTCGAACTCTCAAGTTGTACGGGTTTGTTAAGCACCGTTAAGCTTAACGAGATAGTAGTGTAGCTCGAGAGAGTCTCTCGGGAGGCTGGATTAGCCACAAGTTGTGGTGAACCAGGGTAAAATCGGTGTGCCTCTTACTCTTCTCTTTACTTCTCATTTATTCATTTTTATTCCTTCGATTTTTGATCAAACGCTATTCACCCCCCCCTCTAGCGTTGGTCTTTTATTCTAACATAATGCCCAAGTGATGTTGGACATTTAGTTGAATAATGACTAATAGATAATGACCAATGGTCCTACATTAGTAAATAAAAATATTTGGTCCTATATTAAGAAAGTCATTATGTTTTAGTCCTATTTAGGTAAATTACCCTACTTTTTATGCTTGGTGTTTCATTGCTTGCAACCTTCATTAACATTTGTTCGTCCTTTGCCTCTTTGTTCTTTGCTTTTTTTTTGTTTTATGTGCATTCTGCAATCTTATATTAACTACGATGCATGAGTCATCGAGTCGGGAGTCTTTGGAAAACAGTCTCTCTACTTTCAAAAAGGAGTATTGTTCGCAAACACACCCGTCTAGACTCTACTCTTGTGAGATTTAACTGAGTTGTTGATATTGATTTATAAGTTTTTTTTAAAACTAATGTAGAGCAATAAGCATGAGTCATAAAAACATTACTCTTCCATTTTCAAAAAGATCATCACAGTTTAATTTTTTAATCAAATTGTGTTACAGTTACACCACAAATCGTAAAAAAATTAAATTTAATTATAATGTAAATTTAGTAAAATAGTATTGATTTTAAAATATAGTTTTAATTTCTAATGTATCAATTTTTATAATATTTAATTATTTAAAATTATATTTAATTTGTACTTGACAAAGAAAGCCGAACTGTGAGATCTTTTTTGAGACAAAGGGAGTATTATACATGTAAAATGTGTTTTGAAACAAAAATATTTTAACATATGAAAATAAAAAGATAACTATATTAACTAAAACTTGTTTTTAAAAAATATGAAATTTTAAAAAAATAGTATTCATTTCTAACATTTTCTAACTTTTAATTTTTTTTTTTCAATTCATTACAATTGCTTCTTGAAAAAAATATCAAAATAAGAGTAAAACATGAATAAAGTACCAAAACAAGAGTTCCATATTTTAATCCCCAAAATAAGAGTTACAATACTAATAATGTCAATATATATTATCAAAAAATATTGTGAAAAGATAATATACAATGTTGCAATATCATAAAGCAAACTTCTATTTCGCAAATAAAAACATAGAACTTCTTCTATTTTGAAGATAAGAGTTATGTTATTTGGGGTGATTTCTTTTTTCTTCTAATTCTTTCCAGTTTATTCGAACCTCTTTCAATTTCTTCCAACTCTTTCCGGCCGGTTATTAGAACATCCAACTATAAAATTTCAACTCAAAAGGCATGCCTTTACTTTTGCTCTCAGATCTGATGTTATTTCGGTGGATAAAATTCCATCACTCGAATCGATTTCTGGAAAGAATATCTATGATTCCCTACCTAGTCTGACAAAATGTTGTTGTTGGCCTCTCAAGTTCATATGTCCACAACAATGGAGCGGCGTAAATGCTTCTGTAGTTCACATTCAAGCAACTCACATCCAGTTTTACATGATGTTACAATGGAGGAGACAATTCTCCGTTGAAGGTTCTTAAATTCGCAGGCAAGCTTTACATCCCACGTCGCGTTAGACCTGCCAAGAGAGAAATATTTGTGCTTAGGACGGCCACAATTTTCTCTTTCTCCCAATCAAATATGTGTGAGGGTAAGGAACACTGCATAGCCGCGTTAAATGCTTGGTATATACGTGAAAAATGACCACATAAACTTTACGAGTCGTGTATAACATGCTATTAGACCTGACAAAAATTGACTCGGCCTCTTTCACCTGAGATTTGAGCCGAAAATAGTAAATTTTGATAAAAGGTATTGTTGACCGAGCATGAACTCGCCTGCTAAAATGGGTCAAACTCGGCCGAAGACAAACCCCACCATACAAACCCGCCATGTTTTTTTCCAAAATTATGTACTTTAATATGAAATAAAATACGAATGCTATTTAAAATTTGTATATTGCGTATTATTTATAATATTGTTGCATTAATCTAAAAACTATTTAAAATTCAAAATAAAATATTATAATAGCTTTAATATATTGTAAATAATACGTAGTATATTTTGATATTTTATTGTACATTGTAGCATTTGAATACTAGAAGCCTTTTCGAATTTGGCGTTGTTCTAGTGTCCAAAAGTTTTTGAATGCTAAACTCAGCATTCCAATACTACAAAGACTAAACTATTCGAATACTAAACACTTATTCGTAAAGGTTGTTGGTGGTTAACACCTAGTATTCGAATAGTATAACATAGCATTTGAATACTGTTATAATATTCAAATACTGGGTCTCCTTCACTAATTTGGATTCCAGACCCCCGACAAGGAACTCTGCCCCTTGGACCCCACCAGGGGTGTTGGACCCTCTACCCGGGGCTGCCGCCCGCGGACTCTCACTATGAAATCTGTAATCTCATTGAACGAGTGTGTACTGCAATCCACACCCTCAAACTCGTATCAACGTCTATTAAAATTCCCGTCTAGCCTAAAGTAAATCCTATAGCATAAAACAGCCAATGACACTAAAATCACTAGCAGACAAATTCTCCTTATCACTTACATGTCATCCGCGTCCGCATCCCCAAGTGATTCCATCATTACTTCAAAGGTCTGCAAAAGATCTCCAAGCATTTCGAGTTCAATTTTCAAGTTTTCTGGCATCTGCAAGTTAATAGGGCATGTTACAGTGATCAAGTAAATTTCTCTGACTTTTGAATCAAAAGTAAGAGGACACTCACAGAATTCATGGGATTGGATGAAGGAAAAAAAGTAAAAGAACATCACCAGGGTGGTTGCTGTGAACAAAGGATTCCGGGCTTTGCGCATATGATCTAGTAATGGAAATGGCAATCCATACTGGAAGATTCCATGGTTTTTTGAAAACCATGTACCCCTTACCATATGCGATGTCCACTCAGGTGCCAGCTCCCCATCCTCATCGCCCTCATCCATGGCAGTGTCAATATCTGTGTTATAACACAAAGTATGTACATGGTGAAGCACTTAAATGCCAGTTTCAAGAGTGCAAGAATGATTCATAGCAAAACTTACCAAGAGGAATAACATCATACGGGTTTACTAGCTGTGGTAAGAAACCATAGAAAGTAAGTAGATGAGAACTTGACAAACTTCCATAGCTTAAAAAACACTGCTCTCCCGTGCTGCATGGTCTTGATAAAGGAAAGTTTATGGTATTCGTGGTGGAATCTACCCTTCCATAGTGTAGAATGTGCGGAGATGTCTATGTAAAGAGAATGTAAATGACAAAGAATGTTACAGAGAAATACAGACTAACTTCTCTTCACTTTGAACTATAATATGTTATATGCAAAACACTGAACAGCTCCAAGAGATATAAAAGAGGGCAACACAGATTTCTACATAATGTTGCAATAAAAGAACGTAAAAAGAGAAAAGCTTTGCTTGAAAAAGATTATAAAACAAAGTGTATGCAAGTACAGGAATCATATTAAAGTAGACCAGACAAACAAGGCTTTCAAGGTTTCACCGTAATGCTTATCAAATTCATAAATTTATTTTAATACTACGATTATGAGCGTAGCATAAAATAGTATCTCTAACTATTGTTAAAGTGATTGGAGGTACAATTAATCTAAGTAGTTTCTTTCTCCTCACATCCCATTAGACTTATTCTATTACCTATAAGATGCTTAAATTACGCTGCCAGAAATTAAGGAATACTTCTAGAGCTCGAATTAAGCTTCAACTCTCATTTCTTCACATTAATTTTTACTTTTACGTAGACTTGTCCACCATTCCAAACTAAACCGGAACCAAACACACAGTTCTCAATTATTTGAATATGGAAACCAGAATTGGAACCTTAAGTGTGTGGTTTAACTGGTTCTGGAACTGATGGTTTTGGTTTGGCTACCGCTGTTCAAGTTTTTTTTAATCTTTAATTTTATTTATATATTAATTTAATATTTAATTTTGTTTGAAAATTTGATACTTCAACATAAGTAATAAAATTCTGATATGACAAAGTGATCTAATAATAACTAATCGCATATGATAATTGAACGTTGTCTAACAATGGTCGAGCATTGTGTAAGGAAGTTTCAATGTAGCAGACCTACTTTGATGATATTCGACACAAAGCTATCGGGCTATGTCGGCATTGAGGGGATAACGATAAAGCATTGTGTAGGGTACGGTGTGCAAATTATGAAGGATACTTGGATTCAGTTTGAGGAGGTTGCGTTGAAGATCAAGACTTTAGTTCATAAAATTTTATCTTGGTTATATCCTGATTTTTGTATTGATTTGATTGTATACTATTGTTGTTTGTCATTTTGTTTGTTGTTGATATGGCTTTGTAAAAAGACAGAGAGAGCTTAGGAAGGTGCAAAGGAGGTCTTGTGATAATCGTGTGTGTGAATGAGTTTTGAAGTGTAAATTATCCTAATATTTCAACAAATATGGAAGAATATGTCATGCCTAGTAAAATGACACAACTACCTGTTCTATTTTAATCCTTTAATGAAATTCATTTTCAAAATGTCGCATGCATTAACCATCATTTAATTGTCAAATAAAAACCACTATTTTTTTATTATAAAATTCATTTAGAATTGACCCGTAGGTCAACAAGACTTTGATTCCATGTCAAAGAACCAACTCAAACTAGCTTGACCAATGAAAAGTTTCATGCTCTGACAATTACTCCCTCTGTCCAGATTTAGTTATTTATTTTCCAAAAAATCTCATTCTTTAAGAAATGAGTTTAAAATGTCATTTTTTAGAACAGTTTAAAATGTCAATTAAGTCCTTAAAATGTGTTTGCCACTCATTAATGTCAACATTTCTCATACTATTTTAGACATTTATCATTGAATATGGAAAGTGGACAACTAATTCTGGACAAATGAAAACAAGAAAATGGACAACTAATCCGAACAGATGAAGTATAATATTGTATGGATGACAGAGGCAATTTAACATAGTTAGGTTTAGTAAATACACTAACCGAATGATTGAGAAATCCAGCGATAGGAATCAAGCACGTCCTTAGCATTCCATCACTAAACATAATCTTCATGCTATTAGAGTACCAAAGTTCACAGGCCCATAAAAACTCCTCCCAAGTGTAAAACTCGGGAGGAAATAAATCGGGATGATCATTGAACAGTGCAGGAAACAGCTCGTCATACTGTAAGCGCAAATGCTGCAGAAAGTACAATGATGGAACAGTGAGATTTGATGGCAAGAAGATGTTCGAAAGAATGAATTTATGTAATCCCAATGCTAAAACCTCAAGACATGGCAGGGGACATTCGGTATCTCTGCGTTTTTTAGGTAGGAGTATTGTCTGTGCCCCACTTATAGGATTTTACTAGGTAGGTTGTTGTTGCTAAAACCTCAAGGCAAGCCAATAGCGACTATGGAACATGATTAGTCTTGATTACTGATAGAATTTAGGATGGGGTATGGATAACTAGATTGAGCAATAAGACACTTGGGCTGAACCACATTAAAAGATTGAATCCAATCGATTAGTTAGTTTAACTCAAGAGCTTATATACCGATTAATTTTCTCACACTTTTCCGATGTGGGATGCTCTTTAACACTCCCCCTCAAGTGGACAACCGGACCATTTTGAATCTAACCGGTTGACCACTTGCAAATCAACTCCCATTCCCTTGACTTTCTTTTTTTTTTGAGCGCCAACACCTAAAGAACCACGAGCCGCTGGGTATGGACTTCCAGACGAGCAATCGTGTTAAACGGGCCACAGGCCGTTGGGTACATACTCCATACGGACAACTGGGCTAAAGACAAACGAGCCGCTAGGAATGAACTGTTAGGTTATGGAGCCTGATGCTTAATGATTAAGTTTGCTTAATGGTTAAGTTTACTTAATGGCAAAGTTTACTTAATGGCTAAGCTTTCTTAATGGTTAAGTTTACTTAATGGCTAAGTTTGCTTAATGACTAAGTTTTCTTAATGGTTAAGTAAGTAGAGGTTGTAATGCCTATATATATTCTCCTTTGTAGCTAATTTTTGTAGAGAGGCAAGAGTCAAATTCTCTGTAATTGTATCTGCCTGAAATCATCAATAAACACATCTAGCCACCGTGGAAGTTTACTCACGGGGTGTTACCACGTTATTTCACGTGTTTCACTTTCTCTCTACTTTTACTCTCTCGTTTTTTCTTCACCTTCTTCATCGGATTTCTGTGAGTGTTCTTGATTTGATCCTAACAACTGGTATCAGAGCTCAGGAGAATCAACACGATCACTGAAGATGGAGAGTTCAAAGGTTGGAATCGAGAAGTTTGATGGATCTGATTTCGGTTTCTGGAAGATGCAGATTGAAGACTATC